CTGCGAAGATTATAACTGACTTACAAATGTTCCAAAAGAATGGTCAATTGAACACAGAGGCGAGGCGGAGCTTCACATCACTTGCAAAACAAAATATATGTGTGAACTAGAGCGTGAAAAACTGACTGCAAAACTAGGGACGTAACTAATATTTAAAAACTCAGAAGATTACAAAAATAGATATAATCTAGCCATCCATAAAAAAGCTCACTTCACAAAATCAAACTAGACGAATGAAACATACGGGAAAATGAAGGAATATCTTACATTTTTAACGCTGTAATACTGGAGTTCAAATAACTTTCAAATGATTCCAAAAAATCATGATTTCAAAACGTTTAAGACAAGTCGCCAATCAATAGATTCGGAATGCAGAAAAATTCTAAGGCAACTTTGAAAAAGCTTCCTAATATTGTTTAAAAAGTAGACTACTCAAACATTGAAAAAAAAAATTCAGCTAAGTTTCTTGGAACTTTATTACTTGAACCATTAGCAAATTTCGTGCTGTGACAAAAATCAGACAAACAATAGTCAGAAGAATATTTTTTGTCACGCGCAAAAAATTTCTTCTGCAAAAAAAAACAGATCCTGAGCGGATTCGATTCACGAGCTTTGTTACCTCCACGATAAACAGAACAAAATTACACCACGAGAAAGATATACTAAGAGATTAAGCTGACCAAATGATTCGGTCATTTTGTTGAACTAATTGTTTACCCGAAAAAAGTCTCATATTCTGATTTAATAACGCTTGTATATCGCAAGCGTAATTACTCACAGACAGGCAATCAAGAAAAAATCGCCAGCATAAATAATCAGAGACAGACAATCGAAAAACAATCAGAAAGAACACAAAATCTAGAAAACTCAAATTATGATGATCTACTCTCCTCGGAAATGAAGAAATAAAATTTAAAGTGCAAATCAATAAAGAAGCGCAGTTACTGTTGTGGCGCATTCAATAATGATGTCACCCAGCAATCATATGGTTACGGGTTCAAATCGCACGTGCGCTGAAACTTGCAAGGTGAGCCCTTGCGAGACAGCAATACCTTAATGGGCTCATTCTATTTCAGACTTTAATAGTAAACTCCTGCTTAAGCTACTGGCTGGTTGAAAAAAAAGACCAGCATTTGAAAATTGAACAGCTAGAAATATAGTTGAGTTCCAACATCGTAAAGCAAAATGCTTCAACTCATGCCAATTAGATGAGAACTAGGGAATTAATTAAAATCATCAATGATATTAAAAGTCTTCATTTATTTTATTTATACGACGAAACAGAAAAAGTATTGAAATACTAGAATATGAAAGCTCGCATCGCTCGCCAAAAAAGTTGAAATAACGGTGTTTATCGAGCAAACTTCAAAAAAACTTATTGGCTCTAGCATTTTTAAGATTGCATTATAATTACTTCCATTTCCGAGTTTTTGAATTCTTGCCCCCTTCTAAACTTAAGTTCCGGCTCTTTCCCATGTTAGCCCCTTAGAACCTTGAAATTCATTGTTAGGGGTAGACTGCATATTTTTTCGTTTGAAATGCTGGGGGAGGGAGTTGTAGCGTTAGGCAGGTTAAGCTATATTTTTCCAAAAAGCCATTGAGTATTTTTAAAGCAATTTAAAGCTTCTCAAAACGCTTTTATTCCAATAAAGTCTTCAATTGAAACTTCTTATATTTTTGATAGCTCAAAACAAAAACACTGTCAATAACTTGAAGTCCTGCCATTTTTGAGATGTAACAAAAATCTCGAAATCAGCGCTTCAGAAAATTTCAAAATTTTTAGGGCGCTTTACTCCAGAAATGAAAATATTTAAATTATTTCAATCTATTAAAAATGCACAAGTATTTTCTACTCATCCGGTTGAAAGGAACTGCAAAACCGGATGAGTAGAAAATACAGGTGTGTTTTTTTTTTTTAGGTAAATATTATAATCAGTTCATTAACATTTGCAACTGTTTTAAATAAACTAAGTTATGTTGTGTGTTACTTAAAACGGAGATAAATCATGCCATTTCTGAGTAGGCCTTTAGACCCTCTAATATATGATTTTATATTTCACCTTTTTTGTTCGTTCTATTTTTGCAAATATGTAGAATTTATGCACTAGATTTCATAATAATTTGAAACCCAACTAACTACATCATTCATGTTTCTAATATTTTTTGGGGCAGCATTTAGTATCCCTTATGGGATCGTTAGCTGTCCCCTCTTTGATACTGATGTATTTATGCGCAATATGATATGAATTTTCTAGTAACATTGAGAAATTAATTCTTTCTTTCTTTCTTTAAAAGAAACAAAAGTCACTGACTCATTTTCGCCCCTTTTTCTCCGTAACTATGAAGCCAAATTTTAAAAAACTTCGACCGAGTCCTGCACATGATTTGTATCAGTAACTATGCAGTACAACAATTATTCAGGTTCAGCCGACAAGGAGCAGTAACAATCAACTCCACAGACAGACACATGCGAGATATTTATATCAGTATAGTTTGGCCTAAATAATTTTCCGCTATCAAACTCCAAAATTTTAGCATTTGTAGAGAAAGGAAATACAAAAAACACTGGATAAAATCGTGCAATCATAAGATTTAGTTTGTTGATTTTCATAACTATAACGAAAAAAACATGAAACTAAGTAAATTTTTGTTGAAAAGTTCGTAAATTTAAAAATTTGCAAATATGCTTGCATTTTAACTAGCTGCATTCCCTTCAGCAGTTTTAGGGCTAGCATTAGCCTCCATAGTGGCCAGTCAACAAGCAGAATGGTCCAAGAGCAGAAAAACGGAAAAATATCAACTTTTATGAGCTAGTCGGTAAATTAATTATCAGTAATGTCAATACTACCAAAACAACAAACATTTTATGCATAATTTGAGTAATTTAATCAGGAATTTAAAAAAATTTCATCAAAAAACTTGATGAAATTAGTCAATTCATGCATAATTTACATGTGTTCTTGGGTTTTTTTTTGACGATTCTAATAATTGTTTCATCAATTAGCCCGTATAAACCAATTTAAGTCAATATTTTTCCGTTTTTCTGCTCTTGGACGCATTCTGTAATTGGACCATTCTGCTTATTGCTCCGCCTCCAGCTTCCATACACTGGTTATTAATAATTATGTGAAAATATTCGCATAATGTTTTTTGTGCACAGAAGTCAGAAATTTACTCAAACTTTTTGATTGCTTTAAAACAATTGGCCGTAGCTGGAAAAATCCTCTGCTCCCACCATGAATCAAATCATGGTGAACTTTTCCGCAATCTAACAAGATTAAGACGCTAGGTTCCATAGAAAAACATGAAAAAATTCAGAGCGAAAAAAAAGAAGCCTAGCTGCTCGAAGCTCATTTAAAAAAGAACACAGAGGCGAACCGGAGCTTCGCGCCACTTACGATACAACACAAACATTAACAAAATAAGAATTCGAAAAACAAAAAAATATAGTTGAAAAAATAGGTCTACCAAAAATTAAATGATCCCATGTCTCGATGGAAAATAACTCTAGGCAAACAAGTTTGACATTTGAGCATTTCATTAGCAACGGAATGCAGCTTATGAACAGGGAGCAAAGCCAACAATCTTTGAGCAGACACAAGTTGAGCCGAAAATTTAATTTTAAAAAAATCTTTCAAGTCCCGCCTGAAACTACATTGAATAACACTTGCAACTAAAATGAAATTTGCTCTCACCAAAAGAAAAACCCGCGATGTTCCAACTAAAACAACCTTTGGGCAGAGCCTAGCTGAGCCAAAAAAAAGCCATTTAGGGCCCAGATCTGCCGCCTTCTAGTGGTAGACTCGACAGACAGCCTCGCCTGTCTGAAAATGGCACAACTACAACGCGCAACTAACGACAAAAAAAATGTACAGAACAAATTTAAACGTGAGTCCCCGCGTGTGAAACTACACTGAACATCACTTGCACTTTCAACTTCAACAAAAGTTATTTACAGAACAAGCAAAATCCGTGATGTGGCGACTAAGCCGTCAATCTTTGAGCAGACACCAGTTCAGTAGCAAAAAAAAAGATTAAAAATCAAATTTTACCGGAAAGTTTTTGCAAAAACCAAAGGTTGAAGCCCCCCTAAAACTACAATGAACAACACTTGCACTTAGTGTGGGATTAAGCCGACAATCTTAAAGGAATAAAAACAAAGAAGTGCGGGATAAAGAAGAGAATAAGAAAAGAACATTGATGTGTAAGAACGATAAGGAGAAGATGTTTACGGGGGAAAATCTAGTTCCCGATTACAAGAAACATACTCTCGCAAAGGTAGAAAATATATAAACACGCATTTATATGAAAAAAGCCTGGCGAGAAAGCCGAAAAAACTGACGAAACCCATAAAGTCGACGGAAGTTTCTGAAAAATAATTCTCTATTTTAGTCTTGGATATAACGCCAATAAACTAGGAATCAAAAATAAGTGTTAAACAATACCATAACTTAAAATTGAGATGACCACTTTTTTCAATCACTCTGTGAACAAAATTATCGACAAGGAATAAAAGTCTAACACCAGCTTGCAATACCCCTGCTTATGGAAAGGTACCCTCGGAAAGGTAATTACATTCAAATACTTAATCAGCGTTTATACGATATACATTACCAAAAAACCTATGAACAGGGCTTATACGCCTAGAAATGAAAAGTCTAGGAAGAGAACATCAGAAACGGTAAAATTGAACATTCTGTGAATAAAGTTGCTAACGGGAAATAAGGTCTAGTACTCGGTTGCAATACTTATATAAAGGGCAAATTTAAGCAGCAAATTTTCTCTCAATCAGGACTTCTTCTTTGTATCAGTTCTACCAGTTTGCCCTTAATATAAATTTTGCAACCGAGTACTAGACCTTATTTCGACCTGGGCTCTAAATTTGTCAACAACAATGAAGCTTCCATTGAAAATTACTTATCCTTTCACTTTCTATGATGTCGCTCCGAACAAAAATAGCATTTCAAAAGTTACAATTCAATATTCAATAGATAGATTCTACAATCGACTAAACTGCCAATCTATCGCATAATGATTATTAATTTCGAAGTAGCATAATGGATCTCAGGTAAATCTATACTTAATCCAGGGCTCTTTTATGCACAATTTCTAAATCAAAAATATTTTTTCTGTTAAATGAGATTGATATAAACAATTTTGATAATTCTTTTCTTTCGTAAGAGTCATCTTTCTTTAGAAAGAACCATGGTTGCAACAAATATGATAAATAGCAAAAGCGTGTGCTGGTCATTCCAGTTGCAGGAGATTTAATTACATAATATACTGACAAGTTATCTGCTGCTCTGCAATAATAAATAGGTGTGTGACAATTTTGGATAAGGAAATTGAACGCGATTCATTTTAAATAAAGCTCAGTTCAAACAATCGGAAAAATTTCACCAGATACAAGAAAATTCTATCTATCTGCCATGTAGCATCTTTCAATCTCCGTGATTGAGCTATCAAATTTCAGCGGAATCGATGATAAGTCCTCAACTCCATATTTTGACTTAAATCGTGTTTGAAGCGACTCTAGTCATTTTTCTTCTTGCCTCGAGAACTGATAACTCAATCAAAGGTATTATTCTGATACAATTCTACAGCTAAGAAATCCTTCCATGCTAACTGAGAAGGATTGAATAGTTTACAGATATTAAAATTTTGTACAACTCAAACGGTTTTAAACAGTTTACAATTTCGAGGCAATTGAGAAAAACTGTGAAAACGTCAGGAGATAGTCTTCGAGGGGACAGTGCGGCTGATAGGAACATTTCAAATCAAGCACAGTTTTCAACATCCATGTCATGTTTGATTATTCAATGCAAAAATGATTGATAATATCTGAAGTACATATGAATCAATGCGATTTAAGGGTCATATCATTCAAAATTGAGACATTATCCTTTAACATTGTGGTACAGGTATAAATCGAATCTAAGTTGATTACATGTTTTGGTTGCAATTTTCATTTCAATTTCGGATAAAACTTTTCTTATTGTTACTTCGGTCGTTGGGGGACCATCGGTGGCGGCAAGACTCTTTGACCCCCTGCAGTATTTCCAGGTCCAGGTCGCTGCGGGACCATGGGCGGTGCCTGACCTTGTCCTGGTCTACTAGGGACCATTGGTTGCTGCTGCTGTCCTGAATTTGGAATCGACGATATCGATCCGGGACGCTGTGGAATGTTCGGACGTGGCGGAGGTTGTACGGATCCGGAGTTACTACCTCCCATTGGCTTCCGGTTCCCAGGAGCAGGAGAGAGGGACCTAGGTCCCATGGCATTTGGAGTTCCTAAATTATTATTGTTATACCCAGGCGAAGAGTCGTTCGACTGCAACCATTCGTCTTGAATTGGCGCTGGTGTAGGAGTTGAGGTGGTTGAGAGAACTACATCTCCGATAATTGAGAGAGCTTGCTTTGTAGCATTGTACATTCTAAGTAACTCCTCGCGACGCCTAGTCTCTTCTGGAGATTCCTCCATTAGGGAGTCCTGGTTACCATGAGAGTACAGCTGAGCCAACATTTCAGCTGAGAGATAGTCTTTGACACTGTTCACTAAATAGAACATGACTGTCTTTGGGACGATATCTCGGGTGTTCTTCTTTACAATCGACATGTATGATTCGATCAACGATTTAATTATTTCCACCTGTCGGTCGAGTTGCGGATCTACGGACACCTCAGATTCGACTTCTTCAGCGGGAACTTCTTCGCGAGCAGGGTATACTCCAGCTCTTAGGAGCGAGGCTTTCCAATCCTCCTTTTCGTCTTCAGTCTCACAACTGAGATCTAGTCTTTCGTGTTCTTTGAACACATTCTCGCCACTGCTGTTGAATATACAAAAGCCATATTTTTTCGAAAAATACCCCATATCTATGTCTTTAGTTCGGAGGTTCTCCAGACTAACGCGGTACTTCATCTCCTTCTGGTCTGGTTTCGTGTACCATGAGAGAGACTCAGAGGTTAATACAAACCAGTATGGCTTTGATCGACCCTTCATAAGTGCCATGTTTAGAGTCAGGTAGCCTTTTCGAATCATCTGGTTACTGACATTTTTATCTTTAGCGGAATCTGAACTTGGGCTGGCTGCATTCTGAAATCCGATGAAGTCTTCGTGGTTAGTATTCATATATGCCAGCTCAATTTCACAATGAAGCAGCAACTGATCTTTCGCTTTCATTTCTTGCTCTCTCACTTTTGCCGTGAGAATCCGCTCAGTTTCCTCTCTCAGACGAGGATACTGATTCATTCTATCTCCGCATTTACGGACGACCAGATTGAGCTCAGTTACCACCTGATCCACACATTTTAGGGCAGGTTCCTTTAGTTTCATGATCTTCTTCTTCACAACTGCCTCGAAGGCCATATCAGGCGTGAACAATCCAGATCTAACACCGCGAATGTTTCTAATGGCCAGAATAATTTCACGCCGCAGCTCTTTGTCAATACTCATGTCTAATTTTTGCAGCTCATAAGGAAACCGCTCATGAAATATTCTGTTTATTTTGGCACCACCCGACAGCTCAAGTACATCAACTTCTTCTCCGCTTCCTTCAATTGATTGTTCGAAGTCCTGGCTAAATTGCTGAACAAGCGTCAGAAGAGCTTTGGTCTTTCTGCCCGGATCGTCTGGTCTGTAGTCCTTAAATTCACTACAGGCCTTTTCTAGCTCCAGCATTTGACCCTGCAATTTACTTCTGAACTGAGGCAAATTATCACGAATGTGGTTTGTGAGCTGCTGATTAAGTGTTTTCTGGAGGAAAGGCGTACCTAGTCGATCTACAAGGTGCCTATACGCTGGATGGGCAACAAAAAACTGTCTCTCCGATTGAAGCGCTGCCCTGATGTCCTTTCGACCGTCGATGTCTTTTTGACTTCTATTTATAACCCCAATATAGCCACGTCTAAGAGGATACAGCTTGTTCTCTAATATATCCCTGCAATTTGTTCCTTCGTCCATGAGATCAATCTTAGTTATTACCCCGATTGTTCGCATTCCTTCGGGGTCAGTCTCTTTCGCTAACTTCAAAGCATCCGAATTGGCAAGATCGGAGTTAGCGGGTGTTACAGCCAGAATAAGACAATTGTCTTTAGTAATAAACTGGAGAATCATGTCACGAATTTGAGTCTCAATGTCGGCAGGCTGATCACCTACTGGAACTTTTGTCAACCCAGGCAGATCTACCAATGTTAAGTTGAGTACATTTGGCGAAAAAACCCGCAATGTTATCGGTAAAGGCGATATACCTTTGTTAGATCCCGTCATACGCTCTGTTTCATTTTCAATCTCCTGTCTAACTTCGTTAAAATTGAAGTACCGCTTTCCACGCTGATGACCGAACTCAGCATACTCGGTCTCAGCATGCATGAGCTGCAATATCAGCGGTCGACGCGTGACTATGCCACATCCCCTAGGAAGAAAATCTCTGCCTACAAAGTTTTCAAGTACACTCGATTTTCCAGCACTTTGACCTCCGACGACTGCTATTTGTGGAAGATCAATTACTGCACTGAGTCCAACCGCACTAAACGCATCCTGCAGGCGATTCACAATTGGGATCAAGTTTTGCATCCCCGAATTCCCAGATGCCATTTTGACACTGACAGAGGAGTTCCAACACTCTGAAAAGAATATGCACAACATTAGAAAGAACAAAATTATTTCTCCAAATATTGTGGACGATAACAAAAAAGTGCAAGGAATCAAAGAGTGCGCACCTCTAAAAGCAAATTTAATGAAACGCAAGGGTGAAGCGGAGCTTCGCACCACTTGCGATACAACACAAACATATAAGTCAAGTCAAGTTCTTTATGACCATTAGGCAGTGCCTCTTGTGGTCATTTCAAATGTTCTTTCCTATCTCCGTTCGAATTCGTACGAGTCAATTCCAATCGCTTTCCAATGTTTGTCCAGTTTCCACTTGAATTCGTCGATGGTCTTGCTTTGCACTGTTTCATGAGGCAGATTGTTCCAGTCGAGAGGTGCTCTTATCGTGAAGAAATTTTTTCGCATTTCTAGATTTGCTTTACGTACTACTACTTTACATGCGTTACCTCTAGAATCCCTATCATTCCGCTCGAATAGTCCCGCAGTGGCATTCCTATCATAAAAACCAATGCAGATTTTATACATTTCTAACATTGTCCCTCTTTTCGCTTGTATTCTAGCGATGATAGATTCAGTTCTTTAAGGCGTTCGTGATAGGATAGATTTTTTATACCACTAACTAGACGCGTCGCTCTTCTTTGATAGTTTTCAAAGATCTTTTAATGCTTGGACAATTTGGGCGCCAGATTAAGTTCAAAAATTCGAAGTGTGGCCGAATATCAAGCATTTGTAGATGTTTAAAAATACTTGTTTCGTGACTTTAGTGAAATTTTTCTCAATTACTGCTATCAAGCCGTTTGCCTTACTGGCTTTATTGTGATGTGTGTTTCGAATGTCAGTTTGTTGTCAAGCCAGATACCCAGGTCTTTTTCGAAGTGCACTTCTTTAATGTTTTCGCCATTGATTTAGTAGTTCCTCTCCATATCCAATTTCTTGGTTCCTATTGTCATGTGAACACATTTGTCGATATTAAAAGACAAAGGACTTTTGCCAGACCAAATTTCTAGTGACTGTAAATCTTCATGTATGCGTGTTACATCCGATTTGTCTTCAATTTGACGGTATAATTTCGCATCGTCAGCAAATAGATATATTTTCGACGCTACTTTGTCCGGCATTGTGTTGATGTATATTAAAAACAGTACTGAGCAGAGTAATGAACCCTGGGGTATCTCACTTTTTACTGGCTGCCATGAGGATCTTGAATCGTTAATTACCACTCGCTGTTGTCGTCCCGAAAGAAAGTCTGTTAACCAGTTCAAGGTTCTTCCAATTACTCCATACTGTCTTAGAATTCCGATCAGTCTTTTGTGTGGTACCGAATCGAAGGCTTTCTTGAAAACCAAGTATATCACGTCGACAATTTCATGTTTGTCCATTGCCCTGGTGAAGTCATCAATTACTTTCAGGAGTTGTAAGTTCAGTGAACGTCCAGATCGAAAACCGTATTGTGCATTTGTTATTAGCCCTTCTTCATTGATTTGATCCATTAAAAGCTTTCGAACAAACTTTTCGAAAAACTTGCAATTTTTTGATGTTAAAGTGATTGGTCTATAATTATCTGCCATCGATTTTTTAACTTTTTTGAATATTGCCAAAATGTTAGCCAACTTCCAGTCTACGGGTAATTTGCTTGTCTCCCAAGAGGTTTGGAAAATAATCAAAAGTGGTCTTAAGATGATTTTTCGTAATTCAAATAGGACCCTAGGATGAACTCCATCTGGTCCAGGCGACTTTGAGGTGTCTAACCGATTGAGTTCTTCTCGGATGTCATTCATTGTTAGCTCCAGGTTGTCATCAATGCTGGCCATTTGTGGAGGGCTGATCTCCCAGTTACCGGGGGGTTTGTCAGTGAAAACCGATGCAAAGAAGTTTGAGCGCACTTCTGCCCTTTCGTCGTCTGTGTCAGTTAGCATACCATTTGGTTTTTTTAAAGAGGGGATTGATTCTCTTATGGTAGTTTTTTGGCGTACGTAACTCCAGAACTTTTTCGGATTAGTATTAACTTTTGATGATATTTCTTTTTCACGTGTGAGTGCCTCCGATTGCGTGGCAGATCTAATTTCATTTCGTTTGGTTTTACAATTAGTTAAATTTTTGACTGTTTGATAGTTTTTGAATGTTTTCCAGGCTTTCTTTTTATCTTTTAGCTTCATGCGCACCGCCCTTGCTAGCGGCATTTGGTTGCCACTGCTGCGTATCTTAATTAAAGGCACGAATTCTTTCATGCAGTTTTTCAGTTTTTCCCATGGATATAACTGAACCGTTGGGTCAGCTAGATGCTTGCTCATTCAGTGGTATTCTCCCTTTTCATATTTTCTGCGGTTTTTACATTTCATTTAACCCTCTTTACTGGCACATCATTCTTGACAAGGACGTGGTCACTTTTTCCGATTGGTGCCTCTAACGTGGTGTCTAGATCTTTTAAGACTATGTCTGACATCACAACATCAATCAGTGATGCCTTGTCTCTGCCAACAAGCCTTGTAGGCTCTTTGATATGTTGTGTTAGTAGTGCGTCTTGTACTGCCTCTATAAAGGTGAGCTCAGTGCTATTTTCATCTTTTAATGTACTCATGGCCTCCCAATCTATCTGTGGTAGATTTGTGTCTCCCATTATTAGTGTTGAGAAATTGACTGTGTTTCGTTCAAATTAGCGATCAAATTTTTTAGGTGGTGGTTATTTTCTTTAGTAGAGTTAGGACTTTTATACCAAAGTTGATGATGTTCCTGCCAATTTTAATTTTAAAAAAAAGTTTTCACATAAAAAAGAACTATTAGTGTTCTAGTCAATGTTTTCATTAATATAAACTAAATTTCCGCGTCCTTGGTCAGATGGGTTCAGATTTATTGATTCTATGTTGTAATTTTGGATTTTATGTCATACTGGATTCCATTCTGCGCGAGAATATTTTTCGGTTTGCCTTCCACTGGAGCGAAGACATTGCATTTTTCTTGATTCATTCTCCACGTGATTTCGTGCAGTTTGTCTTGAGTTATTCTGTCTATGTTTGTTTACCAGAAAAATAAAGACGGGTTTGAGGTTTTTTGCTCTTTATCATTATTTGCAACCCCCCTCACAAGGTGCAAGCAGTCTCATTGTTCCTTTTCGTTCAAATTTTTTGCTTTTGCTATCAATCTTCTGAATTCTTCTCGTTTTTTGAGACTCTTGTTTGGCCAATCCGCAGGTTTTTGATTTTATATTCGGCATCTTTTAATTTATTCAATTTTTCCTTATCTCGCTTACATCTTTTTCGTTATCAAAGGATACTAGCAGTGGTCTGTTTGTCGTGGCTTCACCGTTTTTCTTCCCAAGTCGGAAAAAATTTGTGGCTGTTTTGTTTCCCATTTTGACCGATGCTAGAAATTTTTTTATCAGTTGTTTGTCTTCTACCTTTCTGTTATGTCCATCTTGGTGGGTACTCTCAGGTGCTTTGTAAATTATCAAGTTCTTGTTTCTTTTTTTGTCGTCTTCTTCTTCTCTATTTTGCTCGTCAGATGCTTCCATTATAATTTCTTTTAATGGCTTGACTTTTGGTTGTTGAGCCACGTCCCATGGTTTCTATTCAGTTTGATTCACGTCTCTTGGTCCTGCTACAAACTTGTAGAAGTAGTTCATCATGTGGTTTAGGTTCACTCTTGTTTTTTCCAGATCGCTCCTTAGTGTATCCGGATCTCAATTCTTGTCAGCTTCAAGTAGAAGTTTCATATTCGGTGTGCAGGAACTGCAACACCAGATGACTTCTGGTTGACACATGTAATCGTAGACTTGGTCAGGCATATTTATGCATGTTCTACAAAAAAGTTCATGACATTTATCACACTCCATTAGTTTATCATCGATGTTACCATAAGTCTTATTGCACATTTTACATTGTCAAGCGTCCATTTCACTCACAGATTCAGTATTTTTACGTCTAACTTTTGGTTTTGGAGGCTTCTTAAGTTTGATTTTATCAGGCCGCTCTAAGACACTTAAGTCTCAAGAAACTACCCCGTAATTTCTACTTCAAAAACTTTAGGCCCTAATCTGATTATTACTGGGCCGCCCTAAGAAAACTGAATCCCAAGAAGCTACCCTTGTAATTTCAGAAAAACCTTCTTCTTTTTTCAATTTTTTGCTGTTCTTTTTCTGCCTTCGCTTCGACGTTGACTGTTTCTTTGACTTCTTCATAGCAAACTTTGGCCGTTTCTTCAGGACTAATTTTTTCAAGTTATTTCTACTTCTGTTGACGGTTCTGATTAGTCTCTCTTCAAGGATCAAAGACGGGTGAATTAGCCTTGAATCTCGCAAGATTCTGTTGTTCTTTCTCTTTCTTGTGAATAACAACTTTTTGACTGGGAAAATGAGGATGTCCAATGTTCTCAATCTTTTGAGTATGTCTGTGGTGTTGGTTCGTTCGGTGTATGATATTGCTGCGATACGGTGACGCAGTCCGTGGAGAGTCGAAAGCAGTAGTTCTACTGAACAAGCTTTCCAACTGTTGCTGTGGTGGGGGCCACAGTATTGTTGATCAAGTCGTGCCAAAGAATAAATTTGTCTTCGTTCTTCTGGATCGACTGGTGGTTCTTTTTTGTAGAAGGGTTGATGCTCAATCCTCCTACTGATGTCTGGATGGGGAAAATTTTTGGTTGGAAATTTCTAGGGGATGAGTCGATGGCCGCACGAAAAGAGCTTGCGCCAACAATGTGTACCATAAGTCTTCACCTGCAACACCTAGAGCAGCAGGACTTTGCTATTTTCCGTTCAATAATGCGATTTTAGATTTAGCTCTAGGGCATATATCTGAAAATACACAGTTTGTATACGGGGAAAGGAAATCTATTTAATAAGTTTACCACAACAATTAGGCTACAAGTCAAAAAAATACAAGTCGAAAAAATTTTTAATGTTGAAAAAAGTTCTAGGCATCACGTTCACCGATAAACTCTCTATTGAACCTCACAAAACAAAGTCAACCAAAAAAAGCATCATCACAACTGTATCTGCTTATTAAACTGAAAAGCCTC